ACAGCATATCAGATGTAGAAGTTGTGGTCGTGGTTGGTGATCATCAAATAAAAGACTTCTTAAAAATGGCTAGGAACCTGAAAAATCAATCCAACAGCTTTTAGATGATGCAAAGTATAATAAAGATTAATTGTTATAAATGAAAACTTAAATGATAATGCAAAGGTCATAAAATGTGTATTCACAGTAGTAATAGCACAAAACTTCCCAAGCATGGAACAAGAATTTGGCATACAGTAAGTGCGGTTTATAGAACTCCAGTTAACCATGAGCAGAAGGAAAAAAACCCATACCAAGGCATGCAGTAGTCAAGAGCCCAGAAATTCAATGCAAGAAAAGAGTACTAAAAGCTATTAGATAGAAGAAACAAGTCACTTTTAAGGAAAGCCCATAAGAATCACAGCAGACTTGACACAAACCCTTAAGTCAAAGAGAACTTGGAGTATTTCAAGCCCTAAAGGAAAAGAACCCTCCTAAACCAGGTTGTTGTACCCCACAAAAATATCTTACAGAATTGATGGAGAAATAAGATACTTCCATGATAGAGAACATGAGATATTCATGACCACCAAACCAGCACTTCAAACATTTCTGAAACACATTCTAGAAAGAGACAAATTAACAATTCCAATAATACCAATAGAATCAGGCCATGAGGCAAGTCAAGCAATTAAACAGAAAGGAAAGAAAGGTAAACAACAACAGGAAAATAATATAATGACAAGAATACATCAATGCCTATCAGTTATGACCATAATGTGAATGACCTGAATGCAACAACAACAATTAAAAGATTGGAAGAATGGATCAATAAACAAGATCCAACAATGTGCTGCATACAAGAAACACACAACCCCCCAAACATTCATATATGGAAGATCACAGGCTGGAAAACAATACTCCATGAGACAGGAGACTGGAAGAAAGCAGGAGCTGATAATCCATTTGCAGATAATGTGAATTTGAAGGCAAGAGTGATCAGAAGAGACAAACACGGGGCACTACATACTTATTAAGGGAACAGTTAAAGAGGAAGAGTTAACAATAATAAATATGTAATCACCAAATACTGGTGTACTCAACTATATAAAACAGACCAATGGATATGAAAAAGTCAGTTAACAACTAATACAGGTTTAATGGGGGACTTCAACAAACCACTGTTGCAAAGAGATCAAATTGGAAATGTACACAAGTGCAACCACTATGGAAATCAATGTGGAGATTCCTCAAAAAACTGGGATTATAGGTCCCATTCAACCCAGCTACTCCCCTTCTGGGTATTTTTCAGAAGAATTAAAAGCATCATACCACGGCAATATATGTGCACCTATGTTTGTAGCAACACAGTTTGTCATAGCTAAATCTTGGAAATAACCTAAATGCCCATCAACTGAGGAATGGATAAAAAAAATGTGGTATTTTTGTATAATGAAATACTACACAGCTATAAAGAAGGATAAATGAGATTCTTATAGGGGAATGGATGCGAGACCATACTAAGTGAAATACTGAGACCATACTAAGTGAAATACTGAGACCATACTAAGTGAAATAAATCAGTCTTGCATGTGCAAACATCCTATTGCCTATGCAGTGTAACAAGCTGAAAAAGTAAATACGATGCAAAATGTACAATAGATATTGTAAAATGGGAAAAAAGTTCTCAAAAGGAAAGAGAAACTGGAATACTGAAAAAGAGAAAAGAAGGAAGGGAAAGGAAAAAAATTATACATATGCAACATAGTTATACTACTAATTACTATTAGTGAATTGAAAAAGGTTTATGCTTATATTGTTTGATCAATTTTTAATGCCTATATCTTGTAATATGAGCAAGTAGTCTGAAGATAACCATACACAATGTAATAACCATTATTACTCTCCTACAATTTATTTTGAAATTTTATGCCACTGTTTTTATCGTTTTTCTCTTCTTTAAAGAAAAGAAACAAAAGCAAAAAAATCAACAAAGAAATATCAGAGCTGAACCAAATCTGTGAACAAATGGACTTAGTAGATGTCTTCAGAATGTTCCACTAAACAACAGAATACACATTCCTTTCAGGAACACGTGGAATTTTCTCCAAAATAGACCACATACTAGCTCTTAGAATATGCCTACATAAGTAAAAAGGAATTGAAAATATCCCATGCATATTATTAGATCATGAAGCTATGAAACTGAAAATCAATGGCAAAAGCATAAAGTATATAAACATATGGAAATTAAATAATCTCTTGAGATTATTTCTTCAGAGATGAAATTAAAGAAGAAATTACAGAGTTTCTACAATTCAGTGATAATGCCAGTAAAACATACTGTACCTGATGTGACTCAATGAAAACAATCCTATGGGGTAAACATTGTGGTGAATGTCCATCAGAAAAGTGGAGTGAGTTCACAAATAAACTCACGTTGAACCTCAAAATTCTAGAAAAGGAGAACAAGTTAAACCCAAAGCTTATACGAGAAAGGAAATTATAAAGAACAGAGTAGAAATTAATATAATTGAGACTAACAAAACAATACAAAAAAATCAATGAATCAAAGAGTTGATTCTTTGAAAGATTAAATAAAATAGACAAACTCTTAGCTAACTTTATCTAAAAAGAGAAAGGAAATGTCCAGATCAATGCTATTAGGAATGAAAAGGGGGAAATCACAACAGATCCTACAGAAATACAGAGGATAATCAGTATTTACTGTGAAAACTTGTTCTTATATAAGATGGGAAATTCAAAATAAATGGATAGATTTCCAGTAACATATGCATTACCAAAGCTAAATCAAGAAGATATAAAAACAATCCAATATTAATCAGTGAAGATGAAGAAACAAAAATATCAACAGAGAAAAACTCGGATCCTCATAGATTCACTTCTGAATGCTACAAGAACTTTAGGAAGATCTAATGCCGCTACCTTTCAGATTTTTTAATGAAAATGAAATGAAGCAGTACTCCCATAGTCATTGCTAAAAACAAGAAGTACCCTGATATCAAACCAGAGAAG